ACCTCTGCGCCTTAAAGTGCAGCCTTCTCTTTCATAATTCATTTGAGTTTTTGCTCCACAGAGCATATGAGAGCTTGCAGAGTCCATAACTTGCAATGGATTCGCATCAGAGCTGGACATAAGGCTGTTTCTGTGGCCTCTAAGCCTCCACGGTTAGTCACTTCCAACAAGTCACTGGCCTAACAGTAGATGACACAGCTCTATTTCAGCCTTGCTTCCCTGTGGGGCAGCATTCCCCGCTCCTTAGTTTAAGTAAGTTTTTTTTTTAGATCCTGTCTCTCTGTAGCATCTATGTAGCCTGGAATCTCAGAATTCTGTTTCAGTCATTGTCTCTGCTTTGTATTTCTGGTCCGTTTATCACTTAAAGAAAAGTCCATCTTGCTTTTTGAGATGAGCTATCTCTATCTAATTTTCATCTTAAATATATTTTACAAATCATTACTGTGGTTTTAAAGTCAGAAATGGCCTGAAAGTGTAGACTTTTAACAGTGTCTTGGCCAGGGATCTTGATTCTTCATAGGAAAAGTGAATTATTGCATTTTCGTCTTTTTATACTGTGAACTTCCGAAGGCTAGAAGGAAGACATTTTCATCCTTATTCACTCACACCTAATAATCTATGGCACACTGTAAGCACTTCATATTGAATTGTATTTAATGTATTTAATGAATTGTATTTAATATATTTAATGAAATATTGAATTGTATTTAATGGCTCTTGTCATCTTTTAAACCTGAGGCCAAAATGTTCATTCTATGTGAATTGGGAAGTTAAAGAAGAAAGCCTTTATCCCATCCATTTCTTATATTCAGCTATATGAAGGATCAATGTCTGAATCTGATTGTGACATTTAGAACTCTCTGATATTTTTAATACTTAAAAATATGAACCTAGTTAAATATTTAAAACATGAATACTTAAAAACACGAATATAGTTTTGGGTAACAAGTTAGAGATGTAACAAAGCGATATATAGTTCTTCAAATTCAATAAAGTGGAATACCTAGATGGAAACACATTTTACACCTTACTTATATTTATTTGTATGTGCCAATAACTGGGTGTTTTGGGGGTTTTAGTTTTGATTTGTTTTGTCTGTTTTCTTTTTTGGTCTGGCAAGTTAAACTACACATTCGCCTAAAAAGTTTTCAGAGAGCATTGCAATGGTTAAGCAAATGGCAACTTCTTAGTAGGAGGTGGGGTGGGGTAGGGAGGATATTCAGAAAGATTCATACAAACTATTAATGCCGACTAATTTTAAGTTTTAGTCAGACCTTAATGCGCTACTTTATATCTATAATTATTGTAATTATTTCTGATTGTCTAACTACCCTAATTCATATGCTAAAAATAATTTAAGACAAAGATCATTATCCTCAGTCAGGGGTTGTCAATCCCTGGACCACAGACCAGTACTAGTCTGTGGCCTGTGAGGAACCAGGAGGCATAGCAGGAGGTGAACAGCAGGTGACTCAGTATTATCACCTGAACTCCACCTCCTGTCAGAGCAGCAATGGCATTAGGGTTTCATAGGAAAGCAAATCCTACTATGAGGGATCTAGATTGTGTGCTCCTTTTGAGAATCTAATGCCTGATGATCTGGGGTGGAACAGTTTCATCCCAAAACCATCCCCTGCCTTTATCCATGAAAAAATATATTCCATCAAACCAGTCCTTGTTGTTCAAAAGGTTGAAGATTGCTGTCCTAAATGATCCACAAATGTGTCACAAATACAGTAATACAATTTTGTATTAAAATCATGCTTATTTATATATTTTTTAAATACCCTTTCTCATAACATTTTCTTAGAAAATGTATGGGATGATTTTCCATTTTGTAGGTAAGGAAATAAACACTTAGAAGCACAGAGGAAACAAAAAGCAAACTGTGATTTGAACTTCAGGCTCAACCAATGTTTCAAACTCCTGGCCGTCCTGTTTCACTTTCTTCCATATGTTTCAACACTTCCCTACAGTCGGTAAAGTGGCATGGATTCTACTGGTTTTGATTTTGGATGAGAGGATTAGAATGATTTGGTTGTGTATATATTTTAATTAAAATGTTTTCAGTTTAATTTACTGAAACGGGATCTAAAATATGACAAAACTTCCTAGGGCATTTTTTCCTTCAGACATGTCCCTCACAATCCTTACACTTCATCAAACCTAAATATAACACAGAGTGATCTCGTGAAACATAAATACTACTTTTAATACTCTATTATATGAATATATATATATATATATGCATTACAACACTCTCCTTTTTTTTCATCATCTTATCTTGGATATTTGTACACCAACATTCACTAGAGCATTATTCATAACAGCCAAAGTGTAGAAACAATCCAAGTGTCCTTAAACAAATGACTGGATAAAAAATACGTGGTATGTACATACAGCGAAACATTATTCAGCCATAAAAAAAGAATAAAGTTCTAATACATGCTAGAGCATGGATGCACCTTGAAAACACTATGCTAAATGAAATAAGCCAGGCACAAAGGATAAATATATGATGATTCCACTTATATGAAATTTCTACAATTAGCAAATTCATAGAGACAGAAAATATCTATTACTAAGGCCCAGGGAAAGGGGAAAATGGGGAGATATTGCCTTACACAAAGTTTCTACTTGAAGTGATAAAAGATTTTCAGAAATATAGTGTTAATGGCTGCAAAATACTGGGAATGTAATAAAAGCCACTGAATTGTACACTTAAAAACAGGTAAAATCTCAAATGTTGTCTTATATATGTGGATATACATGTATATTTATCCCAATTTTAAAAATTATAATGTAATATATGAAAAAAGATTGAGTGTGCACTTGGTGGTGCATTGTATGATGTGTAAACTATACCTAAATAAAACTGTTTCTTTTTAAAGCTGCTTATTTTGGCAGACCAAGACATTCAACATGTCATTCCCTACTTCATCTCACACCAATTAATGCCATATTACCTGCATTTCAGTTGCACCAAATGACTCCTTGTCTGCTTCATGCTTTTCATGTCTTTGTACTAAATATTTTCTGAATGCTTAGTCCAGAAGAGTAATTTTCAGTCTTTTTTGGTCTAAGGATCTTTACACTCTTAATCATGATTGAAGGCTCCAGAGTCTGTGTATGTAGGTCAAGTCTATATCTATTTACTGTATAAGAAATTTAAACTTAAAATAAATTGCTTTAAATATTTACCAATTTTTTTAAAGTTAGAATAATGCATCAGTTGTGTTCATCCAAATAGCACCTTCTAAGAAAAGTAACTATTTCTTAAAAAAAAATAAGAAAAGATCATTGTTTTACAATGTTACAAATATATTTGTCTTACTAAAATACAGCTGTATTCTTCTATCTGCCTCTTTATCCTCTCATTGTGTTGTTTTGGTTGAAGTATATGAAGAGAATCCAGCCTCACACAGTTGTGTAATTGGAAAAGAGAAGAGTGTTTTAATAATAACCTTTACAGATAACTGGGTATTCTTTCATACTACACCTACACATGACGAGTGGTAGTTACCTAAAGGTTAGTTGCAGTGTGGAATCTGAAAACATGGTGATGAACTTTTCATCCTCTATTACATTAAAATTCATTGGTCTATCTTGCACTTTGAATAAATCATTTACTCATGCATGATTTTATCATGTCATTTGAAAATATTGCTTCTCTAACTTATGCATATCTTCTAAATGTTGACAGATTTCATTATGCAATACCCTAAAATCACATGCATTAATATTACCACCATCTCAACAGAAAAGCCTGTTAAGTATTGGGAAGCTGTCAAGGTTACTGTGGTGGATACAAGACTTCTAATGTTTTACTTTAGAGTTTGGTTTTTACCATTTGCAACACATACAATAGGTCATTTACCCTGAAGTGACACACTCACTGTATTCATTCTTTAGAAAGTGTCCACCACACATTCAGGCTTGGATAGCTGTAGTTTAGTTATTCAAATCTAAATTGTTATTTAAAAAATGATTAAATAAACTAGCTTACCTTTAATATAGAACTAGGTACAGCCTTTTAAAAGCATAAGATGAAGACTCATGCAATAAAATAAAAACTTTGCAATATATAGTAAGCAAAAAAGCAGTTAGCTGAGTAATATATTTAGTATCATTCCACTTTTATAATTAAAAATTTCACACACATAACAATATTCTGGGGCATGTCACATGTCAGTTATGGGTAAGTAAAAAGGATTAATGGTTTCAGAGATGAGGCAGGGATTTCATATTTAAATCCATATTATTTGAACACTCCACAACAAATTTATATATTACTTTGCAATTTAGAAAGCAAAGAAAAAAATTATTTCCATACAGTGAAATTGGAAGAGTGGGAAATATATGGAAATCACACAAAGACATCAAGAAGAAAGTTGTGTGAGGAATAAGAAGATGGTTTTCATTAAACTTTAATGACAAGAAAAAAGTTTCCCTAAATTATGTGGATAATCCACACTGAACATTATGCTTGAATAATTTTGTCCCATAAAAACATTAAAAATATTAGATCATTTCTGTAACATTTTCTCATCAAGTCTGCTATATACATACACACACACAAAATAATCTCTGATGTTTGCTTGAGAAATCATGATTAACTAAATATTACAGAACAGATATTCTTAAAGATACAATTTGCCCACTGGGAAAAAAAAAAAATCAATTAGAACAGTTTTATACTGAAAAACTATTTTTCATGAATTTTAGTGCAGTTATTTATAAGAAACAGTATGATAAAATATATTAAACCTTCCATGGTTAGAAACTAATAATCATAATTTGCTGTACATGCTAGCAGTTAATTGCTTCTTTGACATTTGGCGGTAGGGTTGGGGGGCGTTGAATGATAATAGTCACATTAATTTCTCAATATAAACTCTAGGAAAACGTAATTGCTACATGCAATTACCACTATTATGTCTCTAGTAACCTAAATGATATCGTTTCCATATAACTATTTAAAATTAAATTATTGTACTTACTTTCAACAATTACTTGTCTGTCTTCCCAGTTGTCTTTAATAAGCTGTATATTTCCAAAGTGTGCATCACTGTAAAAGATTCGGTTGGTACCTTTTCTTCTTTGATTATAGTCAAAAGCCAAGGCTATGACATTCTTGAAATAATGTGGATTCTCATATGGCCTTACTGGGGAATTTAAATTGGTTTCATCAGAAAGATGTATACTTTTTAATATTGTTCTTCCTGAATATAGCAAATAGCCTTCATGCCTCAGGCAAGTAACTCCATCTTCTGCCAAATATCCATGGGCACAAGCACAAGTTCTCTGGGAATTTCCTCGATAAAGACAGAGTTGCTTACAGCCACCATTGTCCCTGGCACAAACATTGGTCCCTAAGGAAGAAAAATGATACACACATGCACGTGTTTATGTTTTTCTTTTGTTTTTCAAACAAAATTCTCCATAAAGAAATATTAAAACTTTGATGTTGAGTATTCTTTTTATTCTTAATTATAAGTTGATTAATAAAAAATTTAAAAAGTACTGTTTTTTTAAAAAAATCACAGCAGTTTAAATCTTGGGTTTCTTATTTGGAAAATCATATTCTGTTTCATTTACCATCCAAGTTAAGCATCAAATTTTTCCCTTAATGAGCCAGTTAAGTATATAAGTCTTTTTTGAAACTTGATCCTTAGGTTATAGTGTTTCATACGTTGTTCATTCAAAACATGAATTGATCTCACCAGAAATAATGCACTGCTTTAAACCCTATCTATGAGACATGGAAAGTATCAAATAAATCTATGGCTACAATGAGCCTAACCTCCTAAATATGTTGAGCATAAGTTCTTACTCCAATTTTAAGTGAAGATATAAGATGCACTTAAAATTTATTCACCAGTCTGATTCTTCTCTGTGAATTCATTATTATCTCCAACATTATTATAACTTCCTTTGATATAAACAAGTTAGTCACAATTTATTTTAATGGAGGTAAACACATTTTAAATACCCAAATCATTATCCTATAAGTTTAAAATACATATTTTAAGGAAGTAATGACTTTGGAAATATTTTACACTAACAGCATGAACTTTGGGGTCATAACCACTTATATATAATATGATTCATATTATGTATAAAAATTTCAACTGCCTTTTACTGTCTAATATCTTACTTATGCTTTTACTTTTTATCCAATGAATACATGTATCAAGTTTTTCTATATTCCTTAGCCAAAACCTATAATCAAGACAGCACAGGTACATGTAACATGTCCATGTGTCTGTGCTGTCCTGGGCAAATACGCTTTTGTATGAAATATGACATATTTATTGTATTATGCTACTATATGATATTTGTAGGAAATTAGATGTAAAGATAAAGTTTTGAGGTTTTAGACTCATATAAGAATTTCTAAGTTTGACAGACGTTTTTTAAAAATTGGAGAGAAATCACATAAAATATATGTATTATGTATTCTTTCAAGAGTGCTGACCTTTCTCTCTTACTCGGTTAAATATTTTAACCTCCTTCAGGTTGACTCCAAGACCAGTTCTCATGGTTATCGTTTCTGTGGCATCATTCTTGTGGCCCCTTCTGACGGACCCGTTTGCATGTGCTCTGCCAAAAAGTTGAACATACATGATCAACAATCTTCGACTAATTAAAGTCAAGCCAGTTACTTAAGCTGAAGATAACAGATGGGCCAACAGAAGGAAAAGAAACCAACTTTAGTCTGTGATATTGAAATGTTTGAGCTTGGAATAGCAATAGTGCCTGCCTTTTCTGTGGAAATTACATGGCTTTGTGAGATCCTTTGTGTGACCTTGCTAAGAAATGGCAAATCCTACAAGGGTAAAGCAACTGGCACTGAAATAACATTTTGAGACTCAAATACTTATAAAAAAATAAATTACCTGTCAGACCAGTAGATGTAAGCCCCAAAGACTGCAACTGAAAACATATCCACATTGCTTCCTGACAGCACCACCTCGCGATGCCCTCCAGTCTCAAGGTCGATTCTCTCTATCTTGTCTGTGCGAGCATCACACCAGTACAATTTATTTTCCTAAATATCGATTGAGAAGTCATGTTACAGACTATTTTTGATTGTTTTATTAAGAAAATAAAGGAACACTGAAAGTGGGTTAATGAAAGTTGTCAGCTAATGCACTTTACTGAAAAGAAATCCAACAGACCTCATAGTCAATGGAGATGCCATTTGGCCACGCTATTCCCATGCTTACAAGGACAACCTTCTCTGAGCCATCCAAACGAGCCTTTCCAATACAGGGCATTTGTCCCCATTCAGTCCAGAACAAGAGGCTGAAATTAAATTGTAAATTTTTAGTATTTATGTACATTTATTTGTAGTATGCAGAGCTATACAAAAAGACATTACTAATAATAACAGCAGTAACATTCACACTAGAACAAAAATAATACATTTCAGAAGTTAATATACAGTGTGTTTGTTTCCAATAAAATAATTTTAGCGTAAAAAAGAGTTAACCAGTCATAGAAATCATAGGATGCACTCAACATCCTACCAAAATACCTTTTGTGCCTGCTCTTTCCTGTCTCAAATGCTCTTCTCCAACCTGTTTGCCTAATTACTTCCCACTTTTCATGTCTCAACTATTTCTTTCCAGAAGTCTTCTGTGTCTTCCCTGTACCATGTGCTCTGTTTCACAACACAGATTAGAATGGCAAATTTCCACTTGTATTTCCTTACATTATCATTTATTATAAATAATTTTTGCCCCCACTAGACTATAAACTCAACAAGGCCAGTGATCACTCCTCTATTTTTACTCACTGTTACTCTTTCAGCACCAGGTAATTAGGAATGTTGTGGTAAATACATATTTAATTTATGAATATAGACATGAATGCATCATAACTTTCTATTTTGTCCACTTAGACTGCTAAATGTAACTATTCTAGTTTGAATTTTGTTATCTTGTGAAGTCATCTTAAAATACAGTTTTATGCAAAAGCAAAAATTCTTATTTTAGTAATTTTCTAAAACAAAATGTAATGGGGGAGGATGTGGAAGAAAATATCATGCAGAAGGAACACACAGAGTATGCCAAAATGAAACAACATGTCATAAAATAAAATGTAGAAAAGCAGAATGTGTATAATCCATGTATTTCACTCATTCATTCAAAAAATTCAATATTCATAGGACTCTACAGAAATCCATGCTTTTAGATAAATGTAATTCCTTCTTAATTCTTAATTTGAAGTTACATCTACTGAAGGTTTTATCCAACTATCAGACTCAGCAGTGAATAAAGTTTTAAAAATATGGCAAGCATTGATTCAAAAGCTGGGTGTATATTTCCTAATTATAAAAAATTATTGTTAATAGGTATATTGCACCTATTTTTTTAATAGGTACAATTTTTATTTTATTTATTTTTTTAATTTTTAATAGGTATATTGCACCTAGACAGTGAACATAGTCCCTAATGGGTAGTTTCCTGCCCCCCTCAAGTAGTCCACAGTATCTCTTGTAACCATGTTTATGTTCATGTGTGCTCAATGCTTAGCTCCCATTTATAAGTGAGAACACGTGGTGCTTGCTTTTCTGTTCCTGTATCAATTCATTTAGGTTTATGGCCTCCAGCTCCAGCCATGTTGCTGAAAAAGGGCTGTTTTCCTTCTTTGTATTGCATCATAGTATTCCACGGTATATATATACATTTTCTTTTGCCAATCTACCTTTGATGGGCACCTAGGTTGATTCCACATTTTTGCAATTGTGAAAAGCAGGGGGATGGACATATGAGTGCATGCGGCTTTTTGGTATAATGATGCATTTTCCTTTGGGTATATACCCAGTAATGGGATTATTTGAATGGTAGCTCAGTTTTAAGTTCCTTGTAAAATCTCCAAACTGCTTTCCACAGTGTCTGAACTAATTTACATCCTCACCAACAGTGCATAAGCATTCCCTTTTTCCTGAAGCCTCATCAGCATATTTGAATAATATATGTGACTAGTCACATAAGAATCAGTGAGACTGCAAACAGAAAAATTAAAGACTTATATTTTGTTTATACTCACTAGAGTTATTTAAGTACAAATTGATACTTAACTAAATAAAAATATATGTATTATTTATCTATATTGTTTAATTTGTTTTAATAGCTGATATTTTTCTTGAAAATGCTGTGAAAAATAAACATGTTAGAATTTTACAGACAAACAAAAATGAGGTACGGCTACAATCTCAATTTTATTAATCCTGAAGAAAATTTCAATCATATTTACAAGCTTTATACATCAGAAAGGAAAAACTTTGTAGCATAAAATCCAACTAATATTTTATTGGTAAGATATTATCAAAGAAGGCATTTAAAAATCTACACTTTTATTAACGTCAAGACTTTTAAGACTTTAAGGTATGCTCTCATTGGATGAAAAATATTATTCCATATAAAATAACTAACTGGCAGATGAAATGCATTGCTGCATTTAACTTTTTAAGGAAAAATATGCATTAAAATGGCAGGTAATGTTATACTGTGAAGGAGGCACTGTGAGACCAGGGCAGACATATGCTAATTCATCTAATCTGATTCTTATCATCTATTTTTAACATACTACAAAGTTCACATAAATAAATAAATGTGTATATTAAATATTTTACTTAATATTAATCTACTTGCAAATGCACTAATAAAAATATTATTTTGAGTGAACACACCAAATAAACTATAGGTTGGTGCACAAATAAATGTGTTTATTGCTATTAAAAGTAATGGCAAAAAGCACAATTACTTGTGTACCAACCAATCTACTTAGCCCTAATTCTCAGAGCTATAGTAATTATGATTAGGAAGTAAATGATTCACAGTCCACATGGCCAATAAGAGGGCAAGCCAAGAACCCCACTCAGGCTCTACTAATCCAGGCCTAAATTGTCTTCCCTAGGATACGTTGTCTCACTAAATAGAAAGATAACACAGAAATATATAATGATATTATATCAAATGGTATTTTTCTGTAGCTATAAGATGTGTAACAAGAAATCTCCATATTTAAAACCACAAAACAGGCCTGACACAGTGGCTCATGCCTGTAATACTAACACTTTGGGAGGCTGAGGCAGGGGAATCACTTGAGGTCAGGAATTTGAGACTAGCCTGGCCAACATGGTGAAACCCCTTCTCTACTAAAAATACAAAAGTTAGCCTAGCATGGTGGCACGTGCCTGTAGTCCCAGTTACCTGGGAGGCTGAGGCAGGAGAATCATTGGAACCCAGAAGGCAGAGTCTGCAGTGAGCCAAGATCACACCATTGCACTCCAGCATAGGTAACAGAGTAAGACTTAAGGAAGGAAGGAAGGAAGGAAGGAAGGAAGGAAGGAAGGAAGGAAG